CTAGTCATCTTTTTCGAAGGTAATTGCCAATGAGGAAAGCACAATGGCTAACTGCTCGTTCATAGAGCTAGCATAGAACTTGCAGTCCGAAAGCCCTCACAGGAATGCCGAGCTGAAGGCAAAGGTCTTCACAGAGCCATTTTTTCCCCAACTTAGAGTCCAGAATAAAAAAGTTTTTCCTTCGATGCACCCTCTCTCAAAATGCGGTTTTCCGTCCTACAAAGTTGCATATTTACAAAAGAAAGGCGATCGATAATTTAATTTTCACTGCTTACAGGCCTGAGGAACGGTGGCATGTGGACACGATGAATGCAGTAGTCTTTATTGAAGGGCTCTGTCGTATTAGATTCTTCGATTTAAAAGCTTTTGTCTTTTTTTGTATAAAATGTACTTGTATAAAACATACCATTATACGAAATGTAATGAAGTTCACACAATGTACACGCTACAAAAGACAGGCACACTTAGCGCTTTCTATGGTATGAAGAGCAGGTGACAGCACCTCGCAGTCCGAAGCCCATCCCTTGTATCTAAAATAGAGCTAAGACGTTGGATATTTTCTGTAGCACCTTTCGCAGCCATCCGAATACTCTCACATTGTTGGAATGCGGGCGGCACTTTCAGGCTCAGATGGAGGAAAGCATTTTCTAAATCACTTGTATTTTTTACTACTTCTTGCAAGCTCACAGATCCCATCGTAGTGAAACCTGTAGAATCGTGAAAAGTGTAATCGGAACTCGTCCTAATTTTTGGAAGATTCACAAGAGCTTACATGCCTCCACAGAACGTGTTGCCAGCGTTAAAGCATAGCCAGCGGAATGCCCCTCCAAGTCGAACAGGGCGCTGGACCGATATGCTGCCTCTATATCTGCTCCAGAGATCAAGTATTTTTTTCAGTTCATCATGCATACATTGTCAGTAAAAGTAATGTTCTTCCTGGCCTTCTTCTTGTTCTTCTTCCACCTGGCTTCAGTCCTGCTCCTTTGCAAGATTGCTACTCTTGTCGCTTCATACCTGTTACCTCGACCTTTTCTGTGCTTTTTTTAAGCATATCTGCATGCTGGAATGAAATCTTCAAGGTCCTGGCGATGAAAACGATCCACAGAAAAGGAGAGGTACGTATCGCTTCGGTTCTGGAGCCAGATCTTACTGTTTTTTTGCAGCGGCTATATTGCCACTCCTATTTCGATGATGGGCTGTTATTGATGAATGTGCCCCTTTTTCATCCGCATCAATCGACTCGATACGAACTAATGAGGTCTGTTCAATGCGTTTAACAAAACCGGATATGCAGTAAATTTAACGAAACCGGATATGCAGTAAATTTTAAGGTTCGCGAATTGTCTGTGAGAGGACAGGCAAAAAAAGCGAATCAATTTGTTACGTTCAGTGTGACTTATATATAATCCAACAGGCAATCCGTGTCGCTGAGGAAAATTTTTGCAAAATACGAACTCTCCCTTAGAGCGATGAGACTAGGGAACTATCGACAAAAGCATATTTCGGAGCAGAAGGGTGTGGTTTTTGGCATCGCGTGGCTCCCCTGGGCCATCTGCAAAAGCACCCGGATTCCATTGCATTGTGACAAGGCAATCGTAGCATGCCACACAGGTGAAAGCGGCGTTGTGGCCGAAGGGCGAATCGCTGCTCCTACTTCCTGCCTAGCTGGTTGATTTCAGCGTTTAAAGGAATGCGAGATTGCTCGTCGTGGGGTCTTATCTATGCTTTTATTCATACGGGTTTGGCTGTTTCAATCGATAAGCTGTACGCATCGAGGATTTGGCGCGCACGCCGCGCGCGACGAAGCGGCTGACTACGATTGTCTTGTCCGGCAGATTTGTATTCAAGAGAAAAATGGCTTGCGAAATCTGTTTGTTTCCTATGGCCTAGGAATAAAGACGTATCAAAAACGTTTAGGCAAATTTATTACAGTTTATCGCTGTGGCGAACATTAGCCACGCTGGCGAAAATGAACCATCAATATTTATGATACATTAGAATACAGAATTGCGGAAGTTTCCCATCTACTGAAGGCTCACTTATTTAAGGGAGGGGCGGTGCCGTAACGGTTAGAAGACTTTTGTCTTGTACAAAGCTTGCTTTGATTTTACCTTTTGTGTTATTGTGATTCTCCGATTAAATCTCTTGGAACTGATCGTCTAGCTTTGCTTGTTGGAAAACACTGCTTCAGGCTGAACATAGCTCTTATGACCTAACCTGAAGGCACTTGGCACGATAATTCCCCAAGAGAGCAGGGTTGATACGTCCGGTGGGATGGAATTCCGCAACCCTGAGCAGGCGCTGCATAGCGCCTTCTGGAGGGAGGTACCCTTATAAGGCCCTATCAAGCTACAACATACTGACCCGAACGCCCACCGCGTCCGCCCGCCCACAAATGGACGACCGTACCAGGGGTCAGTATTGCCTCATTTGCTAAGTAAAATATGAAGCGAAAGGATTGGTATGAAAAGGCTGCGGTGCCGCATGGATATATGAGTACATACGTGCAGCCGTATCCTACCGTAGCCCTTTAATCAGGAGGCCTGCGGGAAACTCGTCCAAAGTTGCTCTTTGAATCATTGATAACGAAGCTGTTTCTCGCTGGCTTTGCCGATTCACTTCGTTTTTTTCGCCTTGTTTCACACGTATATGTCACTGGCTAACAGATTCAGGTCAAATACTGCAATTATGTGCAACTACTTTTGAAGGCAACGGCCTTCACTTCTCGCGGCGTTGAGAGACCGTCTCATCCTGAATCAATGTAGAGCGGCGATGAACAGCCTGTGTGGTTGTGAGGGCTGATAGGGGGTATTCGCCCCAGAATAGCGTGATGGTGCGTCATGATACCCGCCAGGCGTGTCAAGCTCCAACTCCCGCAACTCAGTTTTTCTAACACTTAGTCGGGAAGCATATCTGCGCCTTACAAAGGCATGGAGCCGACGAGTTTGTGACTTGCTCACAAATCAGTAGCAATCTGGTGGCTAAACAGAGGCGAGAAAAGAAGAGGCGACGAGGTAAAAGCCAATGCAACCTACCGAGAACAAACTTTTTCTTCTGCACTGGATACTGAACGAGCATCTTTGGTGTTGAGTTTGGTCTGCCAACAAATGCCGCTTTGATATATACCATCTGCACGTACATCCATCATGCGGACCGGTGGGTGCGTCAGCTAGTAGAGTGTTGCCACGCCTCTGAGCTCTGCTTTCTGCCTTCTTGTTGAAAACAAGTGCATGCGACATAAGCAGTAGAAAAAACAAGTAATCGAAAGGTATGATACAGAATTTGTTATTTTGTCTATCGCTTTGATACAACTCGTTCGTGATGAATGAGTCTTTGGCCACCGCGCCAAGCAGCCGCCGAACACGCCAACGGTCCGCAATTGAACTACACTATATGTATTCATAAATCTATGTAGCACGTCCACGCAAGGGCTTACGGGCAATAGTGTTCATGCTAGGTATTCAGCCCTCACGCCTTGTCGATTTCTCCTGTTTATTTGCCTTGAAACAGCAATAAGCTGTAGCCTTGTGTTAGGTTTTTTATTGTGCCACCAAAAAGTTGAAAGACGAAATTAAAGTTGGAAAATAACTCCAGGACTGTTTCTACACTTAGAATCTCAAGATAGTTATTTGGAAAGCTTTACAGAAAGAGCTGGGCAATGTCTGTGTCAATGTTTCAAAGTTGATTCTATGAGTAAACTGGTGGTTCCAGAGCCTATCTAATGGTAAGAATACCTTCAGAACCCGAAATTTTATGGTCTTGGTTCACTTAACATAATGAAAACGAACAACAAAAGATCAAAAATCAGGTACTACTACGGTCCCTAAAGTCCCTCATTAAAGGAAGGATAGTTGAGAACCTTCTTGAAAGCTAGATACGACTCCCACTCACGACACCAGTGCAGATGGGCTACATCAAAGTGGAAAATCCCAAGGTCAATTGGCGCGCAGACACATCAATGGGAGAGACAGGGATGAATTCTGAATGAACGAATCAGTCATCATCTCTTGCCTTACGTAGGCAAAATGTCCAAGGCAAATCTAGATGTTAGTATAAGCGCTCTGATCCTTCAGCTCACAGCAAACGATGCATGAATGCCTATGAAGCTTGAGACACATTCCCCTTCAACCGGGAAGGGGGAGACTGGTATAAAGTTTTTGTAATCTCCTGTCAGCATTGACCAGTAATAAATTGATAGCGATCGATGATTGATATGCGAAAGAACTATACCGCTTTCATTTTTAGCTGCCCAAGGAGTGGCTTAACAGAGGGACAAACGGCCAGGTTTGAAGCTGACCAACACCTATGAAAATGTGAACGCATGACGAGATACTTAAGACTGAGGGGACCACGCTACAAGGACGCCTACGAATTGCTTGAGGAGCGAAAGGACTGTCTCAAGTGACGTCGTCAAGTGCTGGTGACTCCATCCACGTTGGTACTATTAGCGTTTCGCTCTCTTGAATACTCTTTCGCTGTTCTTTCCCTCACTCAAAATCCCTTTAACACTTCGAACTTCGCTTGAAAGACCTTTTTCGAGACACTTCGTAAGTCACTTCACCTTGTTCCACTCTTCACCTTGTTTTGCACGGGCAAATCAATTAACTTACAAAATCCTGCTTTCGATCCCATTATATACGATGTTATTAACGACTTATCGCGGCATTGGCCTTGTTCATTCCGCCTCCTCAGTACTAAGCGAGGATACTTGTCGATACACTGCCAGTTAGTCGGGGCGTTTCAAGAGGGGTGAATGAGGCTTCACCCGGACACCGCTCACTGCCGTTGCTCTTCTTTCTGTTTAGGATCTCTAACCAATCACCATTAGTAGACAACGGCAGCAGGGGGCGGTCTCATCGCGCCCCTCGTGCCACCGCCCGGCTGATTGCGATCTTAAAAACTATGAATAAATTCTATTTCAGAATGAACATTGGTCTTGCCATTCTTGTTCTGTACTTATTGCAGTCGTTCTGCGTAGTTTCCGGAGAACAAAAGCCTAAATGTATAATTCCCCAAAACCAGCATTCCTCAGCAAAGTCGACGACGCCGCTCGTAAGCAATTCTTCGCCATTGTTAGGAACCCTAACCTAACTTCAGATCAGAAGAAGACCCAAGTAATCGAGTTCGCCAAGAAACATGGATTTGAGGTACAAGTACCATTTTACAAGTAAAAAGGCAGGAAAAAATATATGTTCGTGATGAAGGGCTTTTCGAGGCTATTTTCTTTTGCTGCGCTCACTCTTCTATTAGTCGGCCGCAGGTTGTTATCGAACTCCTTCTCCCTTCTGAGGTAAGATTCGAAGTAAACGGGCACTATTCACCCTTTACTGCGCCCCGTCATACGGAATCGGAGCCATTTTTTCTGAACGACTTTCTCTCGTGGACAAATTGGCTCAGATGTTGTTCCTAGGGTAGTTTGACATCCTGAGTGAGGATACCACATCGCCTGGCTCGAAAGGGGCGCCCATGCTGCTGCCGTAGCGATGCGTTCAGTATTTTGCACAGCGTCTGAGGCTTGTGGAACAAATTTTCTGACAAATTGCGTTGATTCAGAGCATTTCGCCTCTGGCAACTGTGCGTGGGCGCTAGATTTTCGGCCAGCTGACTGAGATATTCATGTTTGAAAGTCAAGTTACCCAGAAAACATTTTCAGTCAAATTCTGCCCTCACTTAGAAAAGTCGGTCAAAAGAGTGCGCTAGATTTGGATGGTTGGGGCAGAAAGGGTAAATAGTGTCAAAATTTGTCCCCAACTTCAATTCGTCCCTCCCCTCCAACGCACGGATATAGCATGGAAAGCACCTCATCGCGTCACCAACGTCACCGCCGCAGGGACATTCCATAACTGTGGGAAGCAGGAGGCATGTTCGTAGGTCGAAGGGTTCTTCACAAGAAGGAGGTAGTGACTTATTATAGCCAGAATACGACCAAGATTCAAAAGCAAGAGGATACGCCCCTTCCTACCCTCCGATACTTTGCGAAGGTTTCGGTAATCGGCCATCCGTTACGTCGCGCGTAGCAGGCCATCTCATATGGAGTAAGCTGACAATTCAGTTATAGTAGTGACATTGGTTTAGAGGTTCAAACACTTTTTGAGGCAAAGTTCCAGCCAGACATACCCGCAAGGTAAATTTGATCAAAATCTGGCCGTAATTTTGAAGAATGGCGTGGCAAGGGGCGAATAGTTACACCTAGACCAGCACCTTCTTTTCATAGTGGCTAGTTTTGTTCCGATGTGTTATTTGGCATATCGTCAGCTGAAAGAGATCCACAAGGAATGATCAAGAGCTCTTGGGAAAAAAGGGGAGCTGGAAGTTTTCAAAAAGGGAATTAGTAACATCTTGCTGACACAGTTCCTACTAGGAATGGAATAACGTGTGTTAGATAAAAGAACCTCGAAGGCCCTTACTACTCTCAAAAAGCATTTTTAGGAGGAGGGAAAGAAGCATGTCAAGAAGATAGAAGATTTGAAGAAACAGGTAAGAGTATTTGCTACCTATTCTGCTCTTGATTTGACCCAATTTTTCGTTCAATTGACTTTTGAATCAATTACAGTATCGATTAGATATAGACTATAGTGGCGATACCTCTTTCCTCATGTCGTTGATGTTCTCTATGCAGGGAAAACTTTGCTTGCCACCACCACCACCAGAATTCTTGAAAAAAGTCAACGAGACAGCTCGTAAGGAAATTTTCAACATCATCAAAAATCAGACCGTGCCAATTAAACAGAGGAGAGCAAAGGTTACTGAATGGGCAAAGAAATATGGAGTTGAGGTAAGATTTGGCTCATTTCCAATCGCTTCTAAGCAGTCATTTTCCCCTCACCTTTCTTCCTTTCTTTTTCTCTTCAAATTTCATTAAAAGCAAATTTCATTAAAAGCGAGGGAACTCCCAAAAGTAAGTTGTGACCCATGAACGGACTCAATCATGCTTTTTGGGCGAGTGCGCCTTCACTTCAAATAAGTTGCAGAGAGCGAACTGCGATGTTAAATAGCAGTTATGATAAGAAAACAAACTCTGATCGGAAAACGACTCAAAAAAACTACTACACACAAAAATGGTGCCACTGCTGGACCGTAACAGAAAAGAGCCACGTGTTTGGCTTGAAATTGGCTCCAGGCCGTAAAATAGCGCGCACCAATGAGCTTGTATGAGCGCGCTGACCGCGAACAGCCAAAATTCAAAAGTAATCCATAGTTCCGGTTCCCAGCTGGCCTGGTGAGTTTTTTCTTATCCATTTTATTGTGAATTACTTTGATTGTTTGTTTTTGTTGAGTTTGATTTTGTTTTGTTGAGTTTGATTTTGTTGTGAGGAAATTGCTCAGGATTCAATTTCTACGGTTTCATAGGTAGCTTTTGCAATGGATTCTTTTCTAGATTTTGCGGATTAGTGGATTGGGATTTATCTAGACCAGATGAGGAGGGTTGGTGGGCGAAGTGTCTTGAAGTTTTTTTGTGAGGAAGGAGGAAAAAGTTTCAGCAATATTTTTTTTAGTTCTTGGCCTAGGAATAGTTCGATAGTGCCTAGTTCTATTTATTGTCATCTACATCGTCCCTTTTGAGCTTCTTTTCACTTGTACCGTGTATCACCGCTCTCTCCACTTCAACATGGGCCATGCGTTTACGACCCCCCCCTCCATCGCGGGCAAATACGACCCCCGTTGTGATGATATGTACTATACATCTCATCGTGGCGAGCCGAGGCGTGTCATACATGTACATAATAAAGTAGTTCATACTTTCTGTCTTCCTATTCTTTTATATAATCATTCATCATTCTGTCATCATCTGGAGAAGATCCCTCCAACATCTGGCTAAATCTGCTTTTGTAAAGCTTTTTTTTAACCAGTGTGTATTTCAACAAAATCGAGATGTCATGTTCTGCTAGCAAATAAATTATCTATTTGATCTTCTATCCAAAGTGAATTAACTCCCAACTCAATGTGTTTCTTTTCAGAAACAGGTAAAGAGTTATGATGAGAAGATGAAGAAACTGTTCAGCAAGGTAAGACTGAACGCCTTTTCGGCCTCCATCCTTTCGGTTTACTGAACGGCCACATGTTTTTGACGTTGGTATTCGCGTTGGGAGACATTCCATGGGGCACCCTGCCAAACTCAAGCCTAGTGCAGTGCAGAGCTTTTTCACGGATCTGTTTCTGTGGTCGGCTGAAGTCAGTCAGGCATTTCAAGGGGCCGTGGGTTTTGCTTGAAGCCAGACCCTTCCCAACCATTCATTGGACCTCCGCAGCAAGCCGCATCGATTGATGGAAAACAATGTGACGCGCCCCGACCACTTCCAGTGATATCAACGCCACTTAAGTGTGCAGCTGTTTAAAGGTATCGCAGTGGGAATTTCTCTTTCCTAGTGTGAGGCAGTCCTACTCAAAAGATGCACTGTGTATTGGGTACGTTTCTTCCCATATTTTAAACTTGCTGGGGTAAGTCAAGGCGCAGGTTAGGATCCTTTCGTAGAGTGATTCACCTTCCAACGGGGTTTGTCTCTACAAGTGCTTAGTACAGCGGTCTACAGGGAAATACTCAAGAAAAGACCGAAAGATTCATAGAAACCCGGTCATGGGCCTTGCTGTGTATATCCTTTCCTGCTAGTCGTATCGATCCTCTACGCCTTGTCGATTTGTCGTGTCACTTCCGCGAAATAGCGCGCTCCAATGAACGCGACGCACGACGCAGCACCCACGCAGCTTGAAAAAAGCCACAGGAGCATGTCTCCTCGAAGCTTACACTGTTATCTTATTGTCTTTCACCAGAAAGGAGAGGCGGGTGTATTGACAGCCACTTATAGGGAGGGTCGTACCGACCCCATCTTCCTAAAAATGGCTGCCAATATGACTTATTTTCCTCAACATGACAATTTACCCTTATGGGAAATTGGGATGACCCGCTCAAGAATTTATTGAAACTTAGGCCCTGGGACCGTGAGCGTGATGAACACGTCTCAGCGCAGTTCGGTGGCATTTTGCCTCCCATCTGTGTCTACCCATCTAAATAGGCCTTCTTTAATTAGGTTGTCCGGAAAGTTCTCAGCGTTTTGTGTTACTATTTTTGTACATTCATTGCTGATTAAAAACTCATTCTCCCTTGCGTCTCAGTAGTACATCCTGAAGAGAATTTTTTGCGCTATCTGATGGTATAATTGCCGTTTCACCATTGCTTGATAAACCCCATTTTCCCAAGACTTTTTGAAGCATGTCGGAAGAGCAACAAAGCAATACCTGACGAGGATTTGAAGGCGTTTGTGGAGGCTGACCCATCCCAAACAGTTCGAGAGATTGCAGAAAAGCTAGGCGTTGGCAAATCCACTGTTGCGGATGGTCTGAAACGCATTGGGAAGGTGAAAAAACTCGACAAGTGGGTGCCCCACAATTTGAGTGACCGGCAGAAATTGGCACGTCTCGAGGTTTCTTCACTGCTTTTGCGCAACAGAAACGACCCGTTTTTGAACCGAATTGTCACCTGTGATGAAAAATGGATCATGTATGATAACAGGAGACGTTCCGGACAGTGCTTGGATTTCGACGAACCACCGAGGTAATTTTCAAAGCCGAACCCTCACGAAAAAAGATTCTGGTCACGGCTTGGTGGTCATCGGCTGGTGTGATCCACTATAACTTTTTATCACCAGGCCAAACCATCACAGCAGAACCTACTGTGAAGAAATCGACGAAATGTACCGAAAATTGCGTCAGCTGCAGCCAACACTTATCAAAAGAAAGGGTCCGATTCTTTTGCATGACAACGCCCGCCCACACGTTTCACAAATCACTATCCATAAATTGAACGAATTGGGGGTTGAAGTTCTACCTCACCCGCCATATTCTCCAGACCTTTCACCAACCGACTATCACCTTTTCAAACATTTTCAGAACTTCCTTGCTGGAAAATACTTCATCAATCAGGACCAGGCAAAAAAGACCTTCGTGATTTCGTGGATTCTCGACCACCCAGTTTTTTTTGATGGGATTTATCGACTGGTGTCACATTGGCAAAAGTGTGCTGATTCGAACGGTGCTTATTTCGATTAAATCCGATGAGTATTAAGAAAGTTATGATCGTTTAAAGTGAAACACTCAAAACGCTGAGAACTTTCCGGACAACCTAATAACACGTTTCACCATGGCGGCTAGACAAGCTTGCTCCGGCTTCAAAGAAATCACAGGTTTCACCAGAGGCTTGTGAACCGCAAGTAGTGAAGCAGTGAAAGTGCAAAATGCTCCTGTTGCCAAACTGCCCAGCATCTTCTGTTCTTACTACTTTTTCTTCCCTTGAGCTAATTCGAATTCATAATTTGTGTCATAATGTCGTTTTCGTCCTTCCATTCCTCAGCATATCGTATATTCAATTTATTCAATTTTTATTCAGCAATAACAACGGCGGTCATTGCGGTTAATGCAAAAATAATTCGAAGCCACTTTACCAAGGACTCGTCATCATATCACAAATGCAAAACGTGCAAAACCTAATAAATGTGGCTTCATCTGCTTTCTCTTCCGGAAAATCCGTTCATTATTGTAAACGGCAAAAATCCTCACAAGTCGTTGGTGCGACTCTTTGAAGCTACTTACAAGTTAGCTGTACTATAGCCATCGCGTTGTGATAAATTCCTACAAAGTACGACCCCCCCTTGTTCCACCCTCTGATGTGACCCCCCCCCTCCCTCTACCTACCAGTTTTCCTAGATTTTCCCAACTTTCTCCCACTTTTTCCAAAAATGGTTAGTTTTCCCCCCGGAGTTTTGCTGCGAGGGGGGGGAGGGCAGAGAAGTACAATACCAACAAGTGAAACGGACACCCCGCGAAAAGCCAAACAACCGGAAAAGTTTTTTTTCCCGATGCGCAAATTCCTCTCAAAGACAAATACGACCCTCCACCCCCCTTCCCACCCCTAATTAGCTGAAACAAGAGAAAATAATCAACGAAAAAAAATTTCTTCTTCCAAAGACCCAATACGGTCCCCTCTCCTCAGCGGTAAAGACGCACCCACGATTGTGATTATCACACCATGGCGTGCTCTGAACACCGCCAACACATTGTTCTCAGGGTCACAACGTTAATTGATAATTCCCCAACGGGGGATCGTTTATTCGCTGAGAGGGGGTCGTATATGGGTTGTGAGAAAATTTTTTCGATAGTTGGTTTCTGTTGTTTCACGGACGTTGTAAAGGAAGGGAGTCGTATTTCTCCCGCGCGACTTCCGTTCATGTCTATACACTCACCTCTCCCCCCCCCCCCCCGCAGAGTCGCACGTACGGGCTCGACCAAAATCCACAACGATTGATGCGCCCTGAGCACACATGAAGCGGAAGCACTGCAGCTACACTAACTGCACTAACACCGCAGCCGGCCTGCAACTGAGCGCCCTGGAGGGTACTGCTTGATACATGTTCTAACTTGTAAACGGATTTCACTTTGAACTTCCTCTTCAAGACGCAAAGTGGAAAAGCCCTCCAAGAAGAAAGGAGAACGTTTTCAGTGCATATCGATTTTGATAAGAGCAGCGTTAACGAGAAAAATTCTATCTGCTCTAGTTGAAGCAGGCGCTAAAATCAGCATTGAATTAAAGGCATTCGGCACGATAATTTGGTACTCGGTCTAAAATGCTAGCAGGTGCTGTATAATGGAAAAATGGCGAAAAAACGAAGTGAAACGGTCAAAAATCCTGCGAAGAAAGGCCTTAGTTCTTAATGACTCAAAAAGCAATTTCGGACAAGTTTCCCGTAGGTATCTTCCGGAGAACAGCAACGGTAGATAGGGCTGCACGCACGCTGTCATATATACAGGGGGTGGAGCCAAAAAAGTCACTTTGACAGAGGCACATATCACATAATATAGATGGTTCCCTGAGCTTCATTGTATAGTGAGTGCCAATTTATCGTGGTAACTGCTCATGCTCGTGCTGCTTGTCACCTTCTTCGAAGGAAAGCACAATGGCTAGGTGCTCGCTCATAGAGCTAGCATAGAAATTGCAGTCCGAATGTCATCACAGGAATGCCGAGTTGCGGGCAAACATCTTGACCTCAAGGCCATTTTCCCCCCAACCTAACCTTCAAGATAAGGAAGTTTCTCCTTCTGTGCGCCTTCTCTCAAACAGCGCTTTTCCGACCTCCAAAGTTGGACATTTTTCGAAGAATGGCGATCGATAATTTAGTTTTCACCGCTTACAGGCATGAGGAACCGTGGCATGCGGATACGATGGGTGCAGGAATCTTGATCGGAGGGCTGCTGTCGTATTAGATTTTCAGTCACAAAGTTTCTAACTTTTTATTTTTGTATAAAATATACAATTACAAGAGGTGTAGTGATGTTCACACAATGTACTGCCAGAAAATGCAGGCACTTATTATAATATGGAGGACAGATGAAAGCGATTCCTCGTCCAAGCCCATATCTTGTATCGTAGAGCTGTGATGTTGGATCTACTCTGTACCGCTTTTCGCAGCCATCCGAATACTCTCACATTGCTGAAATGCGGCGGCACGCCTAGGCTCAGATGGGCGGGGGGGGGAAGGGGAAGCATTCTCTGAATCTCTTGTTTCCTCTACTACTTCTCGCTAGCCTACACGTGCCATCTTAGTGGAACCTGTAGAATGGTGAAAAGTGGAATCGGAGCACGCTCTAATTCTTCACAGATTCACAAGAGCTTACACATCTCCACAGAAGGCGTTGGTAACGTTGAAGCAGAGCCACCAAAATGCCCCTCCAAGCCGAATAGGGCGCTGGACGGTATCTCGCCTCTATATCTGCCTCAAAAATTGACTATTCTTCTTCCAGATCATCTTGCATACATGGTTAGTAAAGCTAATGTTGTTCTTGGCCTTCTTCTTCTACCTGGCTTTAATCCGGCACCGTTGCGAGTCCGCTACTCTTTTCGCTTCCAACCTCTTATGCATTTTCTGTACATGCACTTTTTCGAGCCTGCGAGCTGGAGGAGCATCATGGTCATGGAAAACAGCAGGGACTGAAAGTCATCTCTTTGTGGCGTAAGATAGTGTTGTCCGCAATAGATAATCAAAATGACTTGAATTAGGGGAACTGTGAGGCAAGGTTGGTCAGTGACTCTGTCGTCGTTGTAGACCATCGTATCTGTCGTTTTGCCGCCTGCATGCTCTCCCGGAGACGGTAAAGAGGATCGTAATTTGCCGCACCGCCACGCGCGGCGATGGGCGCGGCGTTTTCATAACTCGTTTTAACCTGTCGAATGGAGCACCGGACTTCATGTAGACCCCGTCATCGTAGACACTCATTACTGTTTTCGGTCCTTAATTGCATGTTGTCGCCATCTACTACCTGGCCATCGTCATTTGCGGGCGGACGTCGCACGCGACGCCCAGCAGCGCGGCGAATTACGATCCTCTTGTCACATACCCATGCTCTCCAGCTGCTCTTCTCTGTTCTCTGCTCATCAGCTCTCTGCTTGTCGAGGCAGAAAGGATCTTATTATTTGAATATTATGCTGATATTATAATATTTGGAGCTGTTTTGACTGTTTACCCGGCTATTTTTCCGCAGGTGAGTTGACACCCACAAAAACTTCTGTTTTTCAATCCAGCTATCTACGAATTTCTCTATGGCTTACCTAGGACACGCCATCGCGTTGCATTTAATTCCTGAAAAATACGACCCCCACTTCATGGTGTTCGTGAAACAAGAGAAAACAACAACAATCAAAAAAATCACTCAAACCATATATGACCTCCCCCTTTCTCGTGGTCAAATACGACCCCCCCCCCCGCATCACAACGATGCCCTGCTCTAGGCTTGCCGCCTAAGCTGCCTTCAAAGAGACATGAGCAGCGCGGCCATGAAAACGATCCACAAAGAGAAGGTACAGTAGCGTAGCAGAGGTACTGTCGCTCGGCTATGGAGGGGATGTACTTTCCGAAAAGATTGAGCCTAGCTTAACAACAGTTCACAAAATTTAACAGAGTGAAACCTGAAAACTGGAGCTTGTGCAGCAGTGGAAGTGCAAAATATTAAAGAGTAAGAGGTCAAAGAGTATATTTCGGAGTAGAAGGCTGTGGTTTTTGGCACCGCTTGGATCCCCTGGGCCACCTGCAAAAACACCCAGATTACACTGCACTGTGGACACGACAAGTAGCATGCCGCACAGATGGGAGCGACGTCACGCCCGAAGGACGAATTTGCCGCTCCTGCTCCCTGCCTGGCTGGTTGATTTCAGCGCTCAAACAAATGCTCGTCCTCGTGGGGTCTTATCTATGTTTGTATTCATACGGGCTCGACAGCTTCAATCGATAAGCTGTATCGAGCATTCG